TGAAATCCAGAAAAGATGAAGGGGGTCTCGGTTTTAAAAATTTACAAATTTTCAACAAAGCTATGTTAGGCAAGCAGGCGTGGAGACTATCTCAAACCCCCTCAGCATTATGGTGCAAAATCTTAAAAGGTATCTATTTTCCTGATGGCGATTTTTGGAAAGCCAGAAAAGGGAATCGCCCATCCTGGGGTTGGCAAAGCATTATAATGGGAAGAGAAGCCATAGAATTGGAGGTGAAATGGATGGTAGGCGATGGTAAGTCTATTAAAATTCGTGAGGACAAGTGGCTCACTATCGGTACGATTAGGGGCCCAGTGAATAAGGATGATCCAGTAATGGTGGCAGAATTAATCAGTGAAGAAACGAAGGGATGGAATGAATCCAAAATCAAAAATCTCTTTGATGATAGTATTGCTAATGAAATCCTATTTATCTCCATTGGTCCCAGCCTAAAGGAAGATAAATTATTCTAGACAAGGAACAAAACAGGTGCCTACATAGTAAAGAGTGGCTATAATAAGGTGTGTTCCATGATCACAAAATTAGACCTACACAGGGCAACAACATCATTTCAGCCTCCCAGAAGATTATGGACAAAAATATGGAATCTGTTGATCCCCCCCAAACTGAGAATTTTCCTATGGAGTTTATGTCAAGATGCCTTACCAACGAGAGAAAACCTCTTCAAGAGGAAAGTATTACCTGACCCGTTGTGCCCTCTCTGTGCAAGTCATCCAGAGACAGCTGAACATCTCTTCCTGCTATGCGAATGGACGAAAAATATTTGGTCAGACCCGAGAATCAGCCTCAATGTAAGCACCCTCAACATCACTAGAATAGACAAATGGCTTCTGGATTTTTTCGAAGCAAAGAGGGACTCACCCAAAGAAGAATTGTTAGTGACAGTGCTATGGCTGATATGGAAAAACCGTAATGACAGCATCTTCAGAGCTCGGTCCATCGGAGCTCGGCCCACAGAACCCCTCTCCTTAATCGACGCAGCTCAGGCACAAGTAAGAAGTTTTAGCCGCTGGAACCCGAAGAAGAAAACAATACCCAGCAAATCAAAAGTACTTGTTTACTGGATACCTCCGATTGGAAGCTCCATGAAGTTAAACGTGGATTGCTCATGGGTGGATAGCGACAAACCAAGTTCAATTGCAGGAATCTTGCGCAACTCAAAGGGGATGGTCGTCGATGGCTTCGCGAAGGATGTCCGAGCTTCAACTCCTCTGCAAGCCGAAGCCCTAGCTTTAGTGCAAGGACTTTTGTTTCTAAAACAGCGAACAGAAACGCACGTGGGTGAAGGACAAGTACAGAAAGTGCAGTGGGAGTGTGAGAGCGACAGTTCATCCTTAGTGGAGATGGTGTTGGGCCGAGAAGAGCCCCCTTGGGCCTTGCGGAATATCTTAATTGAATGCAATGATCTTTTAGCTCAACAAGCTTCAGCGAAATTAAGTCATTGTCCTAGGGAGGCCAACCAAGCAGTAGACTGGGTAGCTAAAGCCCATCGTGCAAGAACTCTTCCTCCAAATTGGGTGTCTTCACCCCCCCAGCTCCTTCGGGATATTTTGTTTTTGGAGACTTGTTCATTTTCATCGTATAGACCTCTTTTTTATGAATGAATGAAAGTACCTCTTATGACCAAAAAAAAAAAAATTAGTATCTTTTACAATATCATGTCATGATTGTCATCCTCTTTGGCTTGATCATAACTAGAGTCGAGGCACGCGCATATAAGGGCAGTTCAAAAAGAAATTAGGTGATCATTCTCATCAATTTTTATATTTTTTTTTCCTGATAAAGTCCCATATGTTTTTTTTCCTTGAACTTATCTACCATCTCCTGAATATATTTTATTAATAAATATTTTTTATTCTCCCCAAAAACACCAATCATACATAGCATCTTATATATATCATTTCAGAATTTCTTTCCTAATTTTTTCATAACTAGTGATTTTAATTGATCACAGAATAAACAAAAATGATTTTGATTTCGGTTTATTAGTCATTATAATTATATTTTAGGGATAAGTGCATTGGAAGTCCTAAAACTTGTTACGAAAATATAATTGATTCCTAAAATTTTAAAAAAAGTGTAATTAAGTCCTAAAACTTGTTAAATTAGTATATTCCATTAACTCTATCCAATTTGACTAATGGAATATGCTGATGTGGCTTTTTTTCTCTATCCTACGTGGCGCTAATGTGACTAAAATGATGTTGTTTTGGTCCGAATATGATTTTTTAATGCAAATTATATTTACTTTATATTAAAAAAGGGATAAGTGCACTAGAAGTCTTAAAACTTGTCATGAAAGTGCAATCGATTCCTAAAACTTGCAATAAGTTCAATCAAGTCTAAAACTTGTTAAGCTGATTCAGTCGAATCCTTCTGTTAACTCCGTCCAATTTGACCAACTAAAAATGCTAAAATGCTTTTCTTTTTTTCCTATCCAACATAGTGGTGACAAGGCTAAATCGATGTCGATTTGATCCAAATCTGATTTTTAATACAAACTTTATCTAAATTAAATATTAAAAAGAAGCTAAATTATAAAATTGAAAAAAAAAGAGAATCTAGGTGGAAGGGCTTGCCACCGCCGCCCCACCATCGTTAGGAAAGGCCGGCTAGGGTGGGGGATGGCTGGCGAGGGTGGGGAAGGACCTACACAGGCCCTCGCTTGCGGTCGGCTAGGGTCGCCGACCATCCCCCACCCTCGCCGGCCCTTCCCGGTGATCGTGGGGCGGCCCACAACCTGGTTTTTCCTCTATGTTTTTTCAATTATTTATTAAATTTAATTTAAATAAAATTTGTATTAGAAATTAGATTTGGACCAAACGACGTCGTTTAAGTTTCTATATTATGATTTAGCTATGTCATTGCCATGTGGGAGAGAAAAAAAAATATTAAAAAGCCACGTTGGCATTTTCCGTTAGCCAAGTTGGACGAAGTTAACGAAATAACTTGATTGAACCAATTTAACAAGTCTTAAGTTTTGATTCCATTATTTTTGTAAATTTTAGTACTCAATTGCATTTTTGTGATAAGTTTTAAAACTTCAAATGCAATTATATCTTAACAAAATTAGCAAGATTTAAAAATACAAAAAAAAGAAAAAAAGAAGGAAAGTGCAGGTGGGGGCTCGCCGCGACCGCGACCCCACCATCATTGGACGGTGAGGGCAAGGCTGGCAAGGGTCGTCGGGCCCCAGCCCATGCTTGAGTTTTTTTTTTCTTCTTTTTTGTGTTTTCTTTTAAATTTGTTTATTTTAAATTTATATTAAAAATTAGATTTGGATCAACGATGTCGTTTTAGCCATATGTTTCGTGTTTTCATCACGTCATTATCATGTAGGACAGAGAAAATAATAAAAAAGTCGAGTCAGTAGTTTTCGTCGACCAAGTTGGTTGAAGTTAACGGAATAACTTGATTGCACTAATTTGACAAGTTTTGCGATTTAATTGCACTTTTAAAAGTTTTAAGACTCGATTGCACTTTCGTGAAAATATTTATAACTTTTAGCGCACTTATATGTTATTTTTAGCTATACAAGTTGTCTTTATTGAATTCACCTATTATTAGATATTATTAAATAAAATATTTCAACTTGTTTTTGGCTTAAATAAATAAAAGGAAAAAAGTTACCGAGAGCCCAAAACTATGTCCACAATTACACATTTATCTTAAACTTTTTCCTATGACACAAAAAATACCAAATTTGTACCTGTGTGACATATTGATCCTTCGTCAAAGTTCCGTCAATGATGACAGTTAAAAGTTTGCCTACATTGACGCCGGAAAGCAAATGTCGTTGACACGGCGTTTACATGACTTAAGCGAAATAAAAAAAACGTTTTGACTAAAAAATCATTTGACGGAACCTTGAGGGAGGGTAAATGCATCACATATGTACAAATTTAGAGTTTTTTATATCGCAAAAAACAATTTAGGGTAGGTGTATCATATTGAGCATGATTTGAGATTTTGATATCACAAAAAAAGGTCAAAATAAATAGGGAAAAAACCACCAAAAACCCCAAACTTTGCCATCTGTGACACATTTACCCCGAACTTTTTTTTGTGACACCAAAAACCCCGAACTTTGCTTTTTGTGACACATTTACCCCAATGTATTTAGTCCATGGGCATTTTCGTCTTTTTGCTTTTTCTTTTTTTTTTTTTTTTTTTTCCTTCCGCGAGGGGGCCTCGCCGGATCCGGCGAGGCGCCCATCGCCGGGTCCGGCGAGGCCCCCCGCGGCCGAGCGAGGGTGGCCTCGCCGGATTCGGCGAGGCGGCCCTCGCCGGCGCCGGCGAGGTTCGCCCTCGCTGGGCTAGCGAGGGCGGCCCTCGCCGACTCGAGCGAGGTCAACCCTCGCGGCGTCGGCGAGGGTCGACTCGCCGAGTCGGGCGAGGGCCGCCTCACTCGCCCGGGCGAGGCGACCCTCGCCGGCGCCGGCGAGGTCCGCCTCGCCCGGGCGAGCGAGGCGGCCCTCGCCCGATCCGGCGAGGTCGACCCTCGCGCGCCGAGCGAGGGCGGCCCTCGCCAGATCGGGCGAGGGCACCCTCGCTCGCCAGCGAGGGTCGACCTCGCCAGACGGCGAGGCGCCTCGTCTCGCCGAGCGGGCGAACCTCGCCGGCGTCGCGAGGGCCGCCCTCGCCGGATCGCCGGCGAGGGCCCCCTCGCCGGATCCGGCGATGGGCGACCCTCGCTAGGAAAGGAAAAAAAAAGAAAAAAAAAGAAAAAGCAAAAAAGACGAAAATGCCCATGGACTAAATACATTAGGGTAAATGTGTCACAAAAAGCAAAGTTCAGGGTTTTTGGTGTTACAAAAAAAAGTTTGGGGTAAATGTGTCACGGATGGCAAAGTTTGGGGTTTTTGGTGGTTTTTTCCCAAATAAATATGTTACACTATACATAATTTGGATTTTTTTTGTTACTTTTTCTGTGAACAAAATGATTTGCTTTCCTTGAAATTAACCCCCGCTCCATGTCCCAGTCGGAGAACAGAGACAGCACCAACGGCACGTGTACGAGAGAACCTCGGAGGCAGCAGCTCACCTCCCTCCTTTCTCTCTGCGCGTCGCTTCATCGAGAAAGAATCGGGAGGCGCATCAACGTAAGACGAAGCGAGCACGCCTGCCGAAAAAGCAAGAAGCAAAAAAAAGCACGCCCCGTCTCTCTCTCCGGCAGCCATGGACGTCGATCCTCGTCAATACGAGCACGTCGTGAGTTTCGATTTCTTCTTCCCCTTCTTGTCCGATGGCCGAATCTCGGCGTCCCTCTCTAGCGCCCCTCTTTCTCTCGATGCCCCTTATTGTTGGTCGCGGTTCGAATCGCGATGCGAACATCTGCGTGGTGTGTTCACGTTCGTCGATTGCTTTGGTTGGGCGATTCTAGCCCTTTTCATCTTCGATTGCTGCGCGCGCTCCGCTGATTTTTTCCTCGCCAAGTCGCTTGCTGAACTGTTGATGTTTTCGCGCTGTGATTTGCCGGGGTTCGGATTGAAACTTGAGATGTGTTTGTGGGGAAAAGTGTGTAAAAAGGATCCTTTGTTTCGCCTTTGCATGGTAAGTGTTGGTTTGAAAGCCATGGAGTACGATACTTTTGGTTTAATCGGAGCTGTGCGTGAGGGTGTACCGTAAGAAGCTCGATTGGGACGTGTGTGATGATGAAAATCAGGAGTATAAACGAATGCACTTTCCGGGGCACTCCATTCGAAAGCCTGCTGATTCTTAGCGAGCTGCTTTCCGCAGCATGTTTGACGGGATTGGATTGGCGCAGGATGGCATCATAATCTTTGGCTCGAAACAAGCACTTTCGCATGCAAATAAAGACTGTGATACTTCATTTTACTTTATTTTTAGCTCTTGGTATGTGGGCATTGGTAGCGGGGACATGTTATCCATGTACCTTCTGTTACAGTTTTCTTTACCTATGAGTTGAGCGTGGTTGTCATGGATCTATGTTTTCTCGTGTGTCTCTGAATAATGGTTCTTCTATAGTTTCACAACTTTCGTCGTGGCCATACCATGTCATCCAGATAAAGGCGAAGCAACTCATGACTTCTGGGGTTCTTTGCATAAAATTTGCATGGGAATTTTTATAACTTTTAGCTTACTTATCCGTAGTCTTTGCTCTTGTTTATTTTGCAGGCTATTAGTGAGGATGACATACACGATGTTGTTCTGTCATATCTTGTGCATAATTGCTTCAAAGAAACTGTTGAATCTTTCACCACCTGTACAGGGATGAAGCAGCCAGCTGGTTGTCTTGAGGACATGGAAAAAAGAAAAAGTATGTAGTTCATTTATGATTAAGAGGTAATTGCTTTGGTTGGTGGACTGTGCTGTGTTGTGCACATACAAGTCTGATGCTATGTGGATACCTTTGTTGAGTGTAAGTGTGCACGTGTCCCATAATACTGGTAAGTTTGTCTTGTTAGAGTTGCCCATAGGCTGCGAGGTATTGTTCTGACAGGTACCATTTTATCTTAGTGGCTATACCGAGCCTTTTGATGCTTACAAAACTGTAGAATACTTTTGTCTTACATGGGCACAATCTTCCAAAGTATAGGCAGAACTGTTGTTCGTTGACCTTGATTTGACTGGTAGTTTTTCTTAGATAGCAGGATTTGCACATTGAGTTCCACTCTTCTCATGTGCATGGAAGGCGATGATTTTTGAGTCCTAGTATTTATTTGAATACGGTTTAATTGGTGCTTGTTGTTGGAATGTTTATAAATAGGAATTTTTCACTTTGCTTTGGAGGGTAATGCTCTCAAGGCCATCGATCTGACTGAGGAGCTGGCTCCTGACTTGTTGGAGAAAAATACGGACTTGCATTTTGATCTTCTAAGCCTTCATTTTGTGAAGCTTGTCTGCTCCAGGAGATGGTGAGCTGCATTTTCTTGGTTTCTGGATACATGAGTCATATCTCTTCTTATTCAAAATTATCTTTTCTGGGCAGCACAGAAGCTCTTGAGTTTGCTCAGTCTAAATTGGCTCCTTTCGGGAAGGTGCAAAAATATGTTGTAAAGCTAGAAGTATGTTCAGTCTCTTGTGAATTACTTTATATCTATACATATCCAGTATATCACGTGGATGAATAAGAGAAAATTGCCATGGCTGCAGGACTTCATGGCTTTGCTTGCTTATGAGGAGCCTGAAAAATCACCAATGTTTCATCTTCTTAGCCTGGACTACAGGCAGCATGTTGCTGATAGCTTGAATCGAGCAATCCTTGGTCTGTTCCTTGTGTCTTACTTTGCAGTGCTTGCTGAGCTATATTGCCCAAATATAGATTGAATCCATTAAATGCTAATGCTTTACACATATTTTTCGGTGTGAAGATTGCTTCCTCATTCTATGACTTGGTTTTAAGTTTTACTGTGCATCTAATGTCATTCATGAGTTGACCTCATTACTTGTGCCCCTGTGTTTCTGCCAGCACATGCAAACCAGCCAAGTCACTCCACACTGGAAAGGTTGATAAAGCAGATGATGGTGGTTAGACAACTCTTAAGTCAAGAGCATGGCCAGGTAATTCTGTGTTCAGAAATTTAAAAATTTTGGGGGTAAATTGTGAGGACATCCAGGGTACTTTGGCTTATTTATGAAGTACCCCTTTCATTTTTGTAGAATAACCCCTTGTACTATGTACATTTGTACAGTGTCCCCTTTTGACATGTTTTCAATGGTTTGATGTCCAGAGAATTATAAGTGGTATGACACATCAGCAAATCTTGGCTGAAAATCCATATTAGTACCCTCGTTCTTTGATATTTTGGATTAAAGCGGACCTGGTGCTTTAGAGTGAAGATAGAATTCTACTTTTTAATGTTTTGCTTAGAACGGAAGGGCTTGGCGCAAATTTTTGGCCAAATTTGCTATTGTGTCACGCCGTGTAGGATTTTGTAAAAACATTAAAATCTGTTAAGAGGGGGCACCCTACAAATTTGAATAGACTAAGGGGTTTTATAGAGATGTAAGTACAATTTCAGTTCATGACTAAGCCAAACTGCCGTGGTGGTGGGAGAGAGGCGGGGGGGGGGGGGGGTGCGGGTGTGTCCACACACTTTGTTCAATTCTTAAAGCATCTAGTTTTTGCGGAAGTCATTTACTTCTTCTCTGCTATAATTTCTGTTACTTAAACAATTGGGTCTACACCCTAATCTTGAACTAGAAGGACACGGCATCCTCCTACTTGAAGGTCGAAGCCTTCGAATGTAACCAATCTTAACTGACCTCAAATGTAAATAGAATCCACAATAAATTAAACAAACTGGTGACATGGTCCAGAGTACTACAGCAAAGGATTATGTACATACTCAAAAGAAATATATTAACCCAAATCGTACGGTATACTGTCCACCTGTCAGTTCCATAGTCATAACCATGCCTACAACTAGTAGAGTAAGGAGAAGTGAGCAACAAAACCTCAGCTGAGCAAGTGGCACTTGTCGGAATATCGTTTATGTAAATTCGAATGCAATATATACGGTAGCAATAATGAGCATCTTTAACTTATATAATATCAATGTAATTTTCCAGAGTTATTAACGCATATCAATTCATTTCAATAATATCGATATCTAAACATCAGTAATCAAGTCAATCCACTGATCTATTTATCAATAGTCAAATCCATTATGAGTCTATAGTTCAATGTTGTGTACTATGTGCCATCTTCTGATGACAAGGCCTTGATCAAATACCAATCTTCCCCCTTGGTGCAAGTTTCATCTATTATCACCCGAAGGCTCAACCCAACTAAAAATGGTATGCATACCCTATATTTTGTCTTTGGGGCCTGGGGAGGGTGAAGTTTGCCATAAATCATGGCATATCCATATTCCATAAGTCATATCATATTCATGTTTGGAATGATTATTTGGAGAAACTCAGGGAAGTATGCCGTATCTTGGTAAATGAGGTTTGACCCTGTGCAGAAGACCTTTAGAATATTGTGTATCGGGTCACATTTTGAGTAGGACATTATTAAGATAAATGTGAATGTCATGCTCATACTCAAGTCCAAGATGCTGTGCTGTTGCTTTTCATTGTGACATTGTTTGGTATAATGTGCAAGACTAGTCTGTATATCTGACTTTTTTTTTTATGTGGCTTTCTAGGATACCTTTCTACCATTTTCTTTGAGGGATTTTTTGAAAAGCTAGTGGCAATGCCTTCAGAGCACGGCGGATGTAATTAAGATTATTTTGCAGATTTTCCACATGGAAATTTTATGAAGGGTCTGGTTCATGATGGAAAAGAGTTTTCTTTTCCTGCCTGTTACGTCTGAAAAGTGCTGAGCATGGTGTATTGTTGAACTTCCTGCATTTAGCAAGTTATTCTCCTCTTGGTTGGCTGCAAGGAATGGTTCTCAAAATTATGCCAAAGTCGATGTCTTCATCAGTGGTTAGTCGATCAGTTTGTGTGCGGTGTGGTAGCTAACCGGAATGAAGACCCTTGGAGTACAAGTTCTTGTTTTTGCACATACCGCTTTGCCCTGTGAATCCCTAGTTTACACTTCAAGTCACAAGTTACAACCATCTCTTGGTGTTATAATATGGGGAAACACATAAAAAGCAGAAAGAAAGTTCCTTTATATCTTCTTTGCTATCGGGAGAGCTTTTATGTTTAGTATGGTTCAGATTGGCCAGGGTCATCCAATGTTCAGTAAACATGTACTTTCTGCTTTTTCTATGTGATTTACCCTGGTGTAATGACTTCTGGGATATTGATATATTTGTTAGCTTTTGCTGTTTGTGCATGACTAAATCTTCTTGCGTATTTGTTCAATGGGGCTTGTATCTTTAAGTTGTTCAAATACAGTGCCGTCCCTTTCGCAAAAGGTAAGTGGACTTTTGAACCTTTCTGCACTGGATGATAATTTTCATGTGTTTGTCATATTTTGTTTGTGGTAGTTCAAGCATTTTTCATGATTAGGCATTCTTCAAAGTGGTATGGTGCATCTTTTCTTTGTTACCATTTGAGTTTGTATAGGAATATAAAGAGAGTCAAGTTTATATTTTGGCCCAAAAAAGGTCAAGTACAGAATAGATTGCATATCTTTGAGCTAGTCTTTGCTCAACTTCATTTTCCTTAGATATTCTTTCGATATAACAAGATTGGGGCTTATGCTCCTCAGCCTAAGGCTCGTAAGTCATGAGCACAGGCTAAAATTTGTGAGCCACAACCAGTTGGAAGCTTACGAGTCTCAAACTGCAGTAAAAACGGTTGATGCAGTGCCCTCTTATTGCCAGTTGACTGGAAAGCGGCCCAGCTGGTATCTTATGTAGCTATTTGGCTGTTCCTGCATCCAGAGAAGTGATGTTTTTCTCAGTTGATGTCAAGGAATGGTTCTATTGAGTTCAACCCTCTGTAGAAGTGGGTGCCTCCATCAGTTGTTATTTGATAAGTTATGTATAGTCGGTAGCTTTCCTGGAATCAAAGAACCTCTGAGTACAAGTTACTGTTGAATGATGTAACTTGATTTTCTTTCTGTTCATTTTATATCTGGAGAACGGAATTCATTTTAATATGCATTAACATATTTTGTGACTTAAATGATTTAATTATTAAGATTTTCTGCTCCATTCCTGCTCTTGAACAATTCTAGTAGGCGTGAGAATGTCCTGCTCCTTAGCTGTTCTTGTCACGCTCTGCTAGGAAATTTTTAGACTTTTGGATGGTCTCGTGGTGAGAGGATGCAATTTTATGGGGTACTTAAGTCGTCATCATTTGATAATGTCATTGTCCGTGAGTAAATGATTGTGAAATATGTCTGTTGATCTCATGGATTTGTCAAATTGTTTGTCAGAAGGCAGGGTGGGGGAGAAGAGGGGGTAGGTAATACAGTGAGAACTTGTGTTTGTCTCCTGCCGTGGAAGTGTTAAACATCCCGATTAAGCTATATGCTACAGTTAGACGAGATCAAGGAACCCATGGCTAGGATTTCGTAAGTTTGCTTCAACAAGTGGTTCTTATGGTAACTAAGGTTGTCTACCTTTTGGTTGTTGGATATACTATTATGTTGCTGATGACTGAAGCATAACCAGCGCATCATAGACCAACAAATTCTGAACTTTCTGCATTTTCTGTTCCAACGAGGCTCCCACAGTAAATTGGTGTTTGAGCGAGGAACTGAAACTTTAAATCGTTGGCCATCCACCGCAATACCGTGAGAAGTTCCAGGTTTGGTCACTGTGCCATGTTACCGTCTCTGTGTTGGCAATTCATGAAGAGAAAAAATTACCAGTTTTTATGCAATTTCGTCTGGTTTTCTGGTGCTTGAAGGCACCGTCATAGCAGTACAAAACTTATTTTTCAAATTTTTGTGGAGTTTAGCAGACTTCCATTAGTACAAAAATATCGCAATGTGGTACTTTGCGAGAACCTTAAAAATTTGCGACATGTCTACATGTCTATCCTACCAGCACTGGAAACATGATATGTCAACACGAGCATCAGACGCTAGTAGTGATTTTACCGCAGTAGAAATGTCCCACGTATAGTCGTTTACATATACAAGTATAACATGCATATCAGACATTCTTATCGATACATTTTTCCAATAATTGCCCCCTACTCAGCCAGTGCGGTGCTCATGGAATAGAAATGAAAACTGTTGCGCAGAAGTAGGATCAGGCAATGACTCCTGGGAAAGAGAACATTCATGTGATATCAATGGCCAATGGATAGGGAGATCACATATACATGACCACCGCCCTCCTTGAATCTTATAGATTAAGACTATGCATATATTGGGAGAAGGGACTGAATCATTGGTAGGTGCAATGACTGTTTCGTCAGTAAAACTTCAATCAAATACAGGATCGTCCCTCAATTGTAGCCACCGATGGTTCCTCAAAAGAGTTCCAGTATCTGTTGTACAACCAAACCGAATCAGCTTCTACAGCGTAACCATCTTCGTTGCGATGCCATCCGAAGTATGCATGCGTCCTGTTCTTTATGTCCAGAATCCCATGGCCAAAACTGGCTTCACGGAATGCGGAATAGCGTGGCTGAGGTTCTGTCATCCTGTAAAGTCAGCATAAGAACTCTTATAAGTTTCATTAAAATTGGGTTCTCTCAATCATGATCATCCATCTTCCAGGTAACATCTTTGGTTGTAAACAAAAATCAAACGCCGGATAGCATGCTTACTCTGTTGCCAATCCTTCTAGGTTACCTCCATCTCCAATGGTAATGTAAACTGGAGCTGACGGATCTCTTATAGGTGTGCATAACCCATTCACTATATTGTACGCGACATTGGATATCCGCTTCTAACATATAAATAGATCTGCCGTTAGATGAAAGTCAATTTATTGAAAAGATTATCTCAGAATGTAATAAGAAACGGATGAATGTCCTTTTTTGAAGAAACCCTTTTGTTCCTCTAAAGAACCATGATTTACCTTAACTTTTTTAGCCTTAGAATAGATAACCATTCTTCCAATTTCTGAAAGTCCTTTTAAGCGTTAGTTTGTCAAAGTTGTGTCCAATTATATCCAGTTATAACAATGAGGGCATTGATGTATCAAGAATAGCTGCGGAAGATTCTTTTGCACAATTAAGCTTCATAAAATGTCCAAGTAATAAAAAATCTAGGCTATGTGTCTTACATCTTTGTCATGATACTTTCACCTGTAATAAGATAAAGCAATGATAGAGCAAGAAGAAGAGTGGGAACAATTTCTAGAAATAAAACGGATATTGTATAGGCAAACCATCAATAATGGCATTTTGTTTAGGGAAGAGAAGGACTCACTGAGCGTTCATATGCATGAACATGACCAGCGAAGATGACATCGACTTTGTACTCCACAAACCACGTCTCATACATTACTCTCATAGTTTCCCCTTCCATGTAGTGATGTACATAGCTATTATACAGAGGAGAATGCATGAAAACAATGAGCCAGGGTGTTTCTGTCCTGTTCACTCTGGCTAGCTCATTTTCAAGCCATTTGTACTGTGGAGTATACTTCCCTTTGAATGGAAAAAAAGCAGCCCAGAGTCAGTATCAATAAAACTTTCATCTTATCAGCAATAGAGCAATACAAACTACGAGACTACCATAATGGGCATCGCCATAAAGTTCAATGAGTGGTGATTAAGTGAGCCATTACCAAATGCCGAGTAAGAAGCCATGACAATGATATGTGCTGAAGCTCTCTTTATGGAATACCAGAAAGGAGACGTGCTATCTGATGCTTTGTATGGCACATGAAACCGATGAGAGTACGGCTTAAATGGTATAGATTCACCCTGCAGGGACATTTGAAAAAGGCAGTAAATTTGAATGTGATTAGGATAGAGCAAACATCTTAACAGAACAGAATTGTGGACAGCAGTTACATCCTTCTCGCAGGAAATGAAGCATTAAAGAATCAAAGTGAAGATTAAATCCATACAATTTCGGGGGCAAAATCGATTTCGTGATTCCCTGCAGTCCAAATCCATGGTTGATAAGCAGCATTTCTCTCGATGAACCTTCCCCAAGTATCCCATCTAGTGTTATCATGAAGAGGATAGTCATCGGCATAAGATAGGTCTCCCACATACAGCAACGTTTGCCCCTTTGTTGGATTTAATTCATAATGGGTTAGTGTTCTATTGGAATCATAAGTTTGGCCAAGATCTCCTGCTCAAAATGAGGAGTAGAACCAAATGAAAATTATATTTCACAGAATTCCAGACACACCCGCATCATTGTTCTTTCAATTCTGCAAAGTCTAGTAACAATGTCGAAGCAAAGTGGAGTAGGTGAATTTGCAATTATATGTTGCCAATGCAACAATGAGTGGGCTGGGGTGGGGATGCAATCAATCATGCTTGCAATTATAGTTCGATTCAGCCCATACATTCAATTTTCGAGAGAAAAGCATATGTTTGAGAATTTGATGACAGATGCTTGAGCTGGGGAATGCTACCACAGGACAATGCAAAGCTGAAAAAACTAAGGTCTCATTTCTATCAGACTTCAGTAATATTTAATGCAGAATCAGCAGATTTCTTTCGAATGCTGCAAAAGAATTATTCTACCTATGAGGCCGAACACATAAGGAATATCTGGGCCAATTCCAGGCGGGGTGACGAACCAGAACTGCCTTGTGGTATTTCCAATCCCAACCTCATAGCAGTATTTGGTGTCATACTGCATAGTTTGAAAAGCTAGGCCATCATTGATAAAATCAAACCCATCTAGCAGAGTTTCAATCTCATGAAATGAAACTACAGTGATACCCTCCAAAAGCAGTTAGTATAGCAAGTCGAGACTCTCGAGACTAGCCATCAAAGGGGACATTTTACCTCCAAATCCTCGATAGTGCAGTGATGGATGTAACCCGAAGTGTAGTTGAAGTACTTGTATGTTGTGACTATGCCCTCGGCACAGCTTTTGGTCGCGCTACCCTCGGCCCAGTAAACCACGGTGTTCGAACCGGGTTCATCTGGAGTGACCCAAGAGACGATCACACCTTTCCCCACATAATCTCCTTGGGTGATGTGAACCTAACCCGAGATAAAAACACCACAGAAGCATTATAGCACATGAACTCAATCTACAGGGAAAGAGCAGAAAACATTAGCCTACTAATAAGCTCACCGGCCAATTGAACAAAAAAGGATAAAGTAAAGCATATCAATAGAGAAAATTATGACTTCAAATCATAAGTGTGAACTTTTGGGACTGTTTCTTTCGAATCTTGCTTGATGCCTTCGAAGTCATCACTTTACTCGAGATCAAGAGCCCAATTCCTCAGCAGCCTCAA